AACCTGCTGAAACCCACCTCTGAACTGAACCCAGAAGAATATTTCTTCCAACAGTTGCTTGAAAGTAGTCTTCAAGGCCAGGCCCATATAAAATGGATCACAGTAATCTACACCACAGGTGAGAAGGGAGAAATGCTCTGCTGGCTGGGGAATTCTGGGAAGTCTCCTAGTTTAAAACATCTAGTTTAAAACACTGGTGGTATAGGACGACACCCAAGCCATGACCTATTCCTTTAGTAAGGGCGCTACTCTATCCAGGGACAATAAATTTCCAGGACTTTTATGGACAAAGAGCAACTCGAACTCTTATTATTACCCATAAATCTCCAAAAGACATGAAGAAGAAGGCGATGTCCTCAGAATAATGGCCATCTCAGGCTGCTGATTAAGCTATCATTCCCTATAACAAGGGCACTAATAGATTGGGCTGATAAAACTGTAATGAAGTTTTACATCATCTCAACAATGCTAGGCAATGCAAGATGTTGTAAATCACAAGCAGGAAAATAACCAAAGTAAGGACACTTAAAGATGCTTTTTTTTGCAGCTTCAAAAAAAAAGGGGGGGGGAGATTTCATTTTATAAATGAATATAGTGCCATCTAGTGGTCAAAGGGAAAAGAATAGTAGACAGTACAGTGATCCCATTAAGGTAAAATTTCCTCTCACACGTATGTGCTAGTCATTCCTGACTCTAGGGGGCAGTGCTCATCTCCGTTTCAAAGCCAAAGAGGCAGCACTGTCCGAAGACGTCTCCATGGTCATGTGGCCGGCATGACTAAATGCCAAAGGCGCACAGAACGGTGCTACCTTCCCACCAAAGGTGGTCCCTATTTTTCTACTTGAATTTTTACGTGCTTTCAAACTGCTAAGTTGGCAAAAGCTGGGACGAGTAACGGGAGCTCACCCCATTACGCGGCACTAGGGATTCGAACCGCTGAACTGCCGACCTTTCGATTGACACGCTCAGCATCTTAGCCACTGAGCCACCACGTCCCTTATAACAATCCCATTAGGTCTACTTAAAACTATTTAAAAACTTCCCTGTTGCAGATTAGCAATTTGCAAGCCAGGTTGAGAAACTGCTGTTGTACAGCAATCCTCCATTTACCATCATTTATTTAGCAACCATCCAAAGTTACAATGGCCCTGAAGAAAAGTGGCTTACGTCAGGTCCTCACACAAAAGACTGCGACAGCTTCCCCATGGTCACAAGATCAAAATTCAGCTGTTGGCAACCGGCAGGCATTTACAATGGTTGCAGCATCCTATGATTATCTCCTCGCTATTCGCAAATTTCGCAGCTGGCTTCCGACGAGCTAAGTCAATGTGGAAGCCAGATTTGTTTAACAACTGTGACAAATAGGTGTTCCAATATCTAAGGGGCTTCCACAAAGAAGAGGGGGTCAATCTATTCTCCAAACCTTCTGAAGCAGGGGTCTCCAACCTTGGCAACCTTAAGCCTGGTGGACTTCAACTCCCAGAATTCCCCAGCCAGCTTTCGCTGGCTGGGGAATTCTGGGAGTTGAAATTCTCCAGGCTTAAAGTTGCCAAGGTTGGAGACCCCTGCCCTGAAGGTTAGACAAGAAACAATGGATGGAAACTAATCAAGGAGAGAAGCAACTCAGAACTAAGGGAAAAAATTCCTGACAATGAGAACGATTAATCAGTGGAACAACTTGCCTTCAGAAGTTATGGGTGTTCTAACACCAGAGTTTTTAAAGAAGAGATTATACAGCTGTTTGCCCGAAATGGTATTGGGTTTCTTGCCTGAGCAGAGGGTTGAACTAGAAGACCTCTAAGGACCAGTGGTGGGTTTCAACCAGTGTTACAACCAGTGGTGGGATTCAGGTAATTTAACAACCGGTTCTTTGCCCTAATGATTTCTTCCAACAACCAGTGCTCAGAAAGATAACAACCGGTTCTCCCAAAGTGGTGCGAACTGGCTGAATCCCACCACTGGTTACAACCAGTTCACTTCGCACACGCAACAGCAGAAAAGATTATTGGCAGTTCACTTCCTTCCATCCAGGACATGGCACATAAGCGATGGTTGAGCAGGGGCTACAGGGCTGTCTGGGATGCTACACATCCTCTTTACAACCTGTTTTCCTTGTTACCTTTTGGGAGGAGGCTTCGTAGCATCCAAAGCAGTACCTCTAGATTCAGTCACATTGAATCACAGTTTGTTCCAGATAGCATCAACCTTGTGAACTCTCAAATTTCCTCTTTCCGCTATGTATTCAAAATGGACAGTTAATAATATATATGTATGTATATATAGTATGGGTATGGGTATGTATGTGTGTGTGTGTGTAATGTATATGTATCAGGGGTGAAATGCTCCCAGTTCGGACCGGATCACCTGATCCGGTAGGGATGGAGGTGGGTGGTTCGGAGAACCGGTAGCAAAAATCCCTGCCCCCCCCATGCCCAGCTGAGCCGCACAATCATCAAAGGCTTTTTTTTACTTTTAAAAGCATTTTTTCTACAGCCTCTTCAGCCAAAAAAGTGCTTTTAAAAGTAAAAAAAAAGCCTCTGATGATCGCGCGGCTCAGCTGGGATCATCAGAGGTTTTTAAAAGAAAAAAAGCCTCTGCCGATCAGGCAAGTCAGCTGGGATCGTCAGAGCCTTTTGAAAGCATTGTTTTACAACCTCTTCACCGAAGAGGTTGTAGAAAAAATGGTTTTAAAAGTTTAAAAAAAAAATTGGCCATGCCCACCCAGTCACATTACCCTCCCACCAAGCCACGCCCATAGAACCGATAGTAACAAACTTTAGATTTCATCACTGATATTATGTATATAAGTATATAGCAGTGATGGGTAATCTTTTTCTCGTTGTATGCCGAAAGTGCGTGCACGATAGCACAATACCACACGTGCAGCCCGGCACACATAATGCAATGTGCCCCCCGCGCATGCGCGCACATCCCCCCGCCCGTCTTGGGCCTAGTAGGCCTCCCTGCAGCCTCCTGGGACCAAAAATGGGCTGTGGGGGGGCGCAATGCCTCCGCTGCTCTCCCCCTGCCCCCCCAGGATGCATGTGTGTGCCACCCCCGCCCCCGCTGCACATGCACACCTGTCTCCCGCATGCGCCCCACCCCACATGCATCCCGAAAATCAGCTGGCTGACAGGAGGCGCGCACATGCATGTGCGGTAAACCTGAGCTGGTTGACGGCTCGTGTGCCCGCAGAGAGGGCTCTGTTTGCCAGCTGTGGCACATGTGCCATAGGTTCACCATCATGGGTATATGTGTAGATATATACTTTCAAGAGAATTGGCAGAATTTCATTTTTAATGTGGGCCAGTGTGTGCTCACAGTAAAAAATGACAATGTTTATCTCTATCTTATGTCTTAACTCTTTTCCAGAAGGCCAAGGAAGGGTTAGGGTGGCTGTCTCACTCCTGTTAGGGGAAGAGGACATTCCAGAGTCAGGGGCAGCAGCAGAGAGAGCTCCTGGACAGCCATTTGTCTGGAATGGTATAGGACCATGATGGCGAACCTGTGGCATGCATAACCATATCAGTGGGCACGCGAACTCAGCTCCGGTGTGAGATTTTCGGGCCTTCTGGGCCCAGCAGAAGTAGGGAAACAGGCTGTTTCCTGCCTCCGGAAGGCCCGGGGGTGTGGAGAAAGCCCGTTTTTCTCTCTCACCTGGCTCCAGGGCCTCTCTAGGAGTCTGGGGAGGGCAAAAACAGCTTTCCCCACCCCCATGGGCCTTTGGCCTCCAGAGGCAAAAACAGCCTATTTGACAACGTCCAGTGGGACCAGAAGGTCCGTTTTTTGCTTTCCCTAACCTCCAGGGCCTCTATAATAATAATAATAATAATAATAATAATAATAATAATAATAATAATATTTCTATACCACCCTTCTCCCGAAGGACTCAGGGCGGTGTACAGCCTATTTAAAAACAGAATAGACATCAATTTAAAATAATTTAAAAGTATTAAATAAATTTGGCTTAATTTAAAACCCCAAAAGTTTAAAACATCCAATATAAAATTATGTTGCTAACCCAGCCTGGCGGAACAATAGGGTCTTGAGTGCGCAGCGAAATACCCGGAGGTCAGAAATCTTACGAATTTCCGGGGGCAGTTCATTCCACAGGGCTGGGTCTCTCACAGAGGAGTCTGGGGAGGGTTAAAACAGCCTACCCCACCCACCCCCGGAAGTCCTCCAGAGGCCGAAAACGGCCCATTCGACAACTTCCGGTCCCACCTGGAAGTCAGGTCCCCCCTGCCCCCCCTCCTGGCATGCGATGGCAAAAAGGTTAGCCATCACTGGTATAGGATCTCCTGTTTAAGGAGGGGTTGGATTAGAAGACTTCCAAGGTCCTTCCAACTCTGTTATTCTGTATTCATAGGCCCTGCCAGTTTTAATTCTTTAACCGAGACCGTCTACAGCATACCTTCCCTATCTGATTTGGTGGGACTGTCTGATGTAATGGGATGAAGACGCTTCTTTAGGTAACCTAGCCCCATGCCAGGTAGGGCTTGATAGATCACAACCCTTTGAATTGGAGCTGGAGCAAACTGGCACCCAATGCAGCTCTCACAACAAGAAATGTTGTACACATCCTTCTTTGGGTGCCTAAAATCTCTGCTGTGGCAGAGATATTTCCAGTCTTCTATTCATAGCTTCTGTCTGAAATGATAAGAAGGATATTCTTTTAACCGATAAAGAGAGGATACATTTGTAGGCTGGCCTGTGAGCGTCACTCAAGGTCTGAACATATTGTTAGGATTAAAATAGCTTTCAGAAAGCTATCAGACATCTAGAGAACCTGTTAAGCTACCTCAGAATAAAGTGATTTGTTACAAAAGCACTTTGGATGAATTGGTTAAGATCTTATATAACTTGTTTGTGTGACGGCTGCATGCTTATGGCGAAAGATAAGTGCAGTCTATGGCACCAAGGCCCGGCTCATTTTAATCATGATCAAATCCGTCATAATTGTTTGATGTGGGGAAAGGAATACCATGTGATCACTGGCATGACGTCCTACAAATTTATTTATTTATTTATTACATGTATTTATATGCCGCCATTCTCCCGAAGGATTCAGGGCGGCGAACACAAGTTAAGAAACAAGTACAATAAAATCATAATTTAATCCAAATAATTAATTAGTAGTAAATAATAAAGCCCAGAATCAGTCTCAGCCTATTTGTTTGAAAAGCCAAATCTTCAAGTCCCGACGGAAGGAGCGGAGATCAGGAGCCATCTGGAGATCAGTAGGTAATTCATTCCAGAGGGTGGGAGCACCCACAGAGAACGCCCTATCCCTGGGCACAGCAAGGTGACATTGGCTCGCCGTCGGAACCCTGAGGAGAGCGGCCCTATGTGAGCGAACAGGACGGTGAGAGGCAGGTAGGAGAAGGTCATGCAAATATCCCGGACCTAAGTCATGAAGCCCTTATAGGTGAGGACTAGCACCTTGAAGCGGACCCGGAGAACCACTGGTAACCAGTGCAGCTCACGCAGGAGGGGTGTTATATGGGAGTAACGAGGGGCTCCCATAACAACCCGTGCAGCTGCATTCTGGATCAGCTGGAGTCTCTGGGTGCATCTCAGGGGCAGGCCCATGTAGAGGGAATTGCAGTAATCCAAGCGGGAAGTAACCAGGGCATGAGTGACTGTGCGAAGGTCATCTCGGTCCAGGAAAGGGTGCAACTGGCGCACCAGGCGAACCTGTGCGAAGGCCCCCCTGGTCACGGCCATTAGATGGTCTTCTAGGGATAGCCGAGCATCCAGGAGGACACCCAAGTTGTGAGCCCTATCAACACAGTGATGGGTTGCCCCCGGTTCGCACTGGTTCTATAGAACCGATAGTAATACCGGTGGGAGGCTCCGCCCACCGACCCCGACGTCATCAGAACACTTTGCGCATGTGAGCAAAGCAAGCGCACACTTGCGGCCCCGTTGTGAACTGGTAATAAAGTTAAGTAGTACCCACTCCTGCTACAAATGATTGCTTGATTTTATCACACCGTGTTCTTATGATGCATATGACATCATTGTGGCTTTTTTACCTCATATGGGCTGAGTTAGGCTTAAAAAAACCACCACTTAACCATAGTTACTGGGACCCCAGACTCTGCTAAACTAAGCCAAAAACAAATTACATTTTAACTTCCTCTGCAATATGAAAAAACCAACCAGGATCTAACTTTTCCTCCAAAAACTGAATTTGTTGGTCTTCCCACAACTCAATTAAAGAATCCTGTGTTATATAACTGAATACCCTCAATTTCCTAAGTTTACCTCACCGGGTAGTGGAAAGGCCAAAATGGAACCAGGATACAGAAACTTGCACTGAACCTTGAAAATGCAAAGATGTCTAAATAAATATTATTTTACGTACAGCCCAATCTTCTCAGAAGTATGACCAAGTTCAAGCAGCCTTCTTTCTAATAGGTATATGAAATTACAGCTTTAATTTAAAAGAAACGCCTACATTTTATCCAAAGTTTTTTTTCTTTAAAATGTTAATGCAATGTTTTTTCTTTAAACAACAAAAAAAAAAAACCCAACCACACATTCTTATAAATTATAATTTTCATTTATTTTTCAGGGGAGGTATTCACTTACCTTCGCTACTGGTTCGCAAATGTGAGTGCACATGCCACCTCTGCACATGCGCAGCAGTCGTGGGTTTCAAAAATTTTTACTACCGGTTCTGTGGGTGTGGCATGGCTTGGTGGGCGTGGCTTGGTGGGCGTGGCAGGGGAAGGATACTATAAAATCTCTATTTCCACCTCACTCCAGGGGAAGGTTACTGCAAAATCCCCATTTCCTCCCAATCAGCTGGGAATTGTGAGGCAGAGTATCGATGGGGGCGGGGCCAGTCAGAATTTTTACTACCGGTTCTCCGAACTACTCAAAATTTCCTCTACCGGTTCTCCAGAACTGGTCAGAACCTGCTGGAACCCACCTCTGGCGCAGAGCCTTCCGTGTATGCGCAGAGCATCAAAAACGGGATGTGATGACGTCCGGGCAGGTGGGCAGAGCCTCCCTCAGTCGCCGCTACCAGTTTGCCCGAACCGGATAGAACCAGATGAATACTACCACTGATATTTTGCTGAGGAACTTCTGGCCTTGGACCGAGGAGTACATTAAGAAATGAATCAGGTTCGTCTAACAATTCTGACTTCGTTTTGCTAATAAAATAAAATGCATGAGGAAAAGCATTGACAAAGTGATACTAGCATGAAACCCAAGTCTTGCTTCTTCTTCTTCTTTTTTTCCCCTTTTCTTGGTTTAATGTGATAGCCAGCATTTAGGGTGAGCAGTAAACTGACGTTTGTAAAGAGACTTATAGCACCTTTTGAGCCTAACAGTTTTATTTAAGGCAATCAGCTTTTGTGAGTTTGCAGATCACTTCATCAGATGCATGGAGTGGCTTGACTTGATGGGAGATTTAAATAGAGCGAGGCAGGGGGCAAGGGGAGGGGGAGACAGGATAGTTATGCAGATAGGGGTCCTTGCAAGGCCGATTACAAGCATCTCACAATTGTATGAAGAGCCTTTTGTAGGACGACCTTGGTGCTCTCTGAGCATGTTTGTTTGCAGATATTTCATTACTGAATGTAGGTAACATCTGATGATGTTCAAGTGAGCTACAGGTACCCTTTCCTATTAGACCTCAATGTGCTTGCACAGGAGCAGGAAGCTCAAATACAAAGCCCAAAGAAGGTATAAAAACCCACCCACTCTCAACTCCATTTTGTCAACTGCCCAGAATCACATGTGGTTGGCGGTTCTGCTTCATGAATAAAGACAACTTTTCTTTCCAATCAGTCTCCAGCCTCCATTTTATCTCCCATGCCTTTCTTCTGGTTTGGAATTGGACATTTCTTCCAGTAGTGAAATGTAAAATTTGTTACTACCGGTTCTGTGGGCGTGGCTTGGTAGGGGGGGTTAATATGACTGAGTGGGCGTGGTCAACTTTTTTTTTTTTTACTTTTAAAACCATTTTTTCTACAACCTCTTTGGCTGAAGAGGTTGTTAAAAAAATGCTTTTAAAGCCTCTGACGATCCCAGCTAACTTGCCTGATCAGCAGAGGCTTTCTTTCTTTCTTTCTTTTTTTTTAAAGCCTCTGATGATCCCAGCTGAGCCGCGCGATCATCAGAGGCTTTTTTTTTTTACTTTTAAAAGCATTTTTTCGGCCAAAGAGGTTGTAGAAAAAATGCTTTTAAAAATAAAAAAAAGCCTCTGATGATTGCGCGACTCAGCTGGGCAATGCGGGGGGGGGCAGGGATTTTTGCTACCGGTTCTCCGAACCACCCGCTTCCATCGCTACCGGATCGGGCGATGCAGTCCGAACCGGGAGCATTTCACCCCTGATTTCTTCCAACAATAGGGATTTCCAGAGAGGTGGGCTGTTGATCCATTTAGTGCAGGGGTGAAATTCAGCAAGTTCTGGAGAACCGGTAGCGGAAATTTTGAGTAGTTCAGAGAACCAGCAAATACCACCTCTGGCTGGCCCCAGAGTGGGGTGGGAATGGAGATTTTGCAATATCCTTCCCCCAAGAGTGGGGAGGGAATGGGGATTTTGCAGTATCCTTCCCCTGCAATGCCCACCAAGCCACACCCACAGAACCAGTAGTAAAAAAAAATTGAATTCCACCACTGATTTACTGAATATTCTGTTTTGACTGAAACCTTGGTTGAAGTGCAGTGACTAAGGAACAATCAAAAGAAGTACCAGATTTCATTGCATACTCACCATGGGGGAGGCGGGGGGCGGGGAATAGATAAGGCAGCTAAGTGAAGGTTTATAGCTTTATACCTTCCCTTTAAAAATTTGTTTTTTCCCCCTTAGCTATTTCTACAGGATTATTTCATTGTAGAGCAGACAAAGTGTGTCCCATTGGAAAGTCATTTCAGAGATAGTTCCTTACCTAAACAGAGCAACAGAATCAGAAGGCCATTGAGCTTCAAGTCAAACTAGTTACTAAGTCTGCACTATTATTAATCTTCTCATCATTCCTATCACCCATCTCCTCCCACTTATGACTGTATGACTGTAACCTTGTTGCTGGTATCCTTAAAATGTATATTGACTGTTTCCTAATATGATTTGATTGCTTATTTGTTCCCTATGACTATCATTAAGTGTTGTACCTTATGATTCTTGACGAATGTATCTTTTATTTTACGTACACTGAGAGCGTATGCACCAAGACTAATTCCTTGTGTGTCCAATCACACTTGACCAAAAAAGAATTCTATTCTGTTTTGTTGTTCTGTTCTGTTCTGTTCTGTTCTGTTCTGTTCTGTTCTGTTCTGCTCTGCTTTGTTCTGTTCTATTCTATTTCTATTCCTCGAGGGGGAAACTGGCAGTGAACATCAGAAATCTTCCTTCCTCCCACTCTTCCTCCTTTCTTCTAGAAGGAGATATACAGATATACGCTCAAGACCCTGGTGAGGGCAGGACATTATTATTTTAACTTGTCATTGTCAACCTTTATTAAGCACCTATTTTAACCGGTGCTGATATTTATTATATTACCCTTTTTTTAAAAAAAAAAAAGCAAAATCTGCAGCACAGAAAGAAGAATCGGGATGAAAGAGAGGCTAAGAAAGAAAACAAAATTCTTTATTTTTCTTCCTTCCTGATTTTGATTGTCTGGACGGGCATCATAATTATCATTTTGTGTTCATCAAATCCCCCTGTGTTGTTATGGAAATGCTTCCTAGATGACATTCAGATATCACAGCAGGCTGGGAAGTGAGAAAGCCAGCCGAGGACAGAATTCAATCATCATCCAAGCCAGGAAAGGAACTAACAATTTCCTCCATTTGTATAACCAACAAGGGCAGCCAACTAGCGCATAGCTCTTTTTAGTAGCACACTGCAACCTCCCTTGCAATCATCGGTCATCAATCCTGTTTTCCAAGGTTGGGTACACCTGGCCTATAAGAGGAACTCAATTTCATAACTTGCAGCTGATCTCTGGAGCAAGGTTCTCTCCGAGATCCAGATAAACCTCAATTTGCTATTATTCAGAAGAGTTGTGAAGACCGGTGTCTTCACCCAGATCTTTGGAGAGAAAGAATGAGACCCCTTGCTTCATTCCACCTGGTCTGGGCACACTTGCCATCTTTTTTATGGATTTTATTGTAACTATTATCCTCATCTTTCCCATTATCTTCTTCTATTGGTATCTTATTCCTAGTGTGTCCTTTCACTCTTGGCCAATAAAGAACCTTGTTCTGTTCTGTTCTGTTCTGTTCTGTTCTGTTCTGTTCTGTTCTATTCTATTCTATTCTATTCTATTCTATTCTTTCTATTCCTATTCTAGTCTAGTCTATTTCTAGTCTAGTCGAGTCTTTATTCTACTCTACTCTACTCTACTCTACTGTACTCTACTCTACTCTACTCTAGTCTACTCTACTCCTGTTCTGTTCTGTTCTGTTCTGTTCTGTTCTGTTCTATTCTATTCTATTCTATTCTAATTCTAATTCTAATTCTAATTCTAATTCTAATTCTATTCTATTACTCTACTTCTATTCTATTCTATTCTATTCTATTCTATTCTATTCTATTCTCTACTCCTATTCTATTCTATTCTATTCTATGCTCTGCTCTGCTCTGCTCTGCCATTGGGAGATGGGTAGCATGTAAATTTAATAAACTGTCTTCATCATCCTCATATGCTAACCTTGGATGCTTTTAAACATGGCTGGGACAATTATAGGTTAGTCTGTTCAATGAACTGGGGTCTTTTGATTAGTTTACATTCCAGTATATGCAACCCAGAGAATAGCTTAATTCAATGACCAAGTTCAATATGGTTTTGGACACAGCGTTGAGGCTGTAATATTACCCTGCTTTAATACTAAAGGATGCTTAGTCTCATGTTCCTGTAAAGTTTTTTTTTTTTTTTTTGGTCAGTCAGGGATCTATTTTTACTTTTATTTTTCTACTGAACACCAATTATTTACTTTTTTTTTTTAGGCTACAACAGGGTAGCTAGTTTCTGATTCAGTTTACACAGCAGATTTCTCAATTTTTAGAATATTCTACACAACCCGTGACCCATTGAGTCATGTTTCAGAAATATTTTTTTTTACCCAAACAGAGAAACAGAATGAGAACATCTGGGCAAAAAATCAGTGGGAATCAGGAGTGACTGATGATTTCCTGCTGGCTTCCCCATTGAGTTTGCTTGTAGGAAGCTGGCAGAGCACATTGGAAATTATCATCACATGGCCACAGCTGACATGGCAGCGTGGCGGTACTGAAGCAATCACAACTTGCCAAATTTCAATCCCACAGGAGTTATGGGTCTTGGATTTTGGACACATTGTGTAAATTAGCCCATTTGGGGTATGTTGATTCAAAACCTATGCATCATTTCACCCAATTGAAGGTTACAAACAATTGAACAGACACAAGAGTTTTAGTAGATATAGATATACTGTCTATACCATGATATACTGTCTATACTATACCATGAGTCTGTCATCTGCACCTCTATAACTGTCTGGTTTGGTTCTGCAACCCAACAAAACAGACACAGACTTCAGAGGATAATGAGAACTGCAGAAAAAACAATTGCTACCAACCTGTCTTCCATTGAGGACCTGTATGCTGCACGAGTCAAAAAGAGGGCTGTGAAAATATTTACAGACCCCTCGCATCCTGGACATAAATTGTTTCAGCTCCTACCCTCAAAACGACACTATAGAGCACTGCACACCAGAACAACCAGACACAAGAACAGTTTTTTCCCGAACGCCATCACTCTGCTAAACAAATAATTCCCTCAACACTGTCCAACTATTCACTAAGTCTGCATTTCTATTACTATTAGTCTTCTCATTGTTCCTATCACTCATCTCCTCCCACTTGATTTATATTTATATTGATTGTTTCCTAGTATGATTTGATTGCTTATTTGTACCCCTATGACTATCATTAAGTGTTGTACTTTATGATTCTCGACAAATGTATCTTGTCTTTTTATGCACACTGAGAGCATATGCACCAAAGACAAATTCCTTGTGTGTCCAATCACAGTTGGCCAATAAGGAATTCAATTCTATTCTATTCTATTCTATTCTATTCTATTCTATTCTATTCTATTCTATTCTATTCTATTCTATTCTATTCTATTTGAGATTAATCCGCAGGAACAGTCTTGGAATAAGGATGTGTTGCTAGAATCCGAATCACGATTTCATAGAAGACACCCACAATCCAAAAAGCTTGCACGGATCCCAAACTGATACAAATAAACCAGAGTTTTTTAAGCTTTAGCAACTTTAAAATGTGTAGACTTCAACTCCTAGCAGGCTGGCTAGGAAATTGTGGGAATTGAAGCCTACACATCTTAAAGTTGCCAAGTTTGAAAAACACCGATCTAAATTAAGTTCCTAAAGGAAGGAAATCTATCAGCTAAAGCTATCCATCAATTAAAAATAACAGAAGTTGGGTGAGAACATCTTTTTAAAAACACAATCTGACAAATGCAGCAAATGTGCCTACAATGAGAACATTACAAGTTTACAGTTTAATATGTGAAGCTATTACCCCTTCCTGGAAGTCAAATTTTAATATTTTCTTATCCATTTCTTGTGCCAGCAGATTAAATCCAAAGGAACATTGGAAAATAAAATATCAACAGTTAGAGCTGATCTCTAGTGAATTCACTATCAGTGAAATTGATCATGGATGCAAACTATGATTCCAGTGAATATTCTATTCCATTATAGCATCCATTAAACTATAAAAAACTCTTTTTTTACAGCCCTGTAATCCCTTAATTCGGGGTAGAGTCAGAGCGACTGGATGGAGCTGAGCATTTGTTTACTGGCTGGATGCCCTTCCTGACACCACACTGAGTTCACAGCAGATATTTTTTTCTTTGCATCCTAAGAGAGAAATATCCGCCACTACCTAGGATTGAACTCTCAACCTTCCAAGTGAGAGGCGAGCATCTTCACCACTAAGCCACCAAGTTGTTCAACATCAAACTACATAGG